TCACAAGGCTTTTTAGGCACAGGGGACGATCTCTCCCAAGGCCACGCAGAGGCTTCCCGTGAGGCCTGTGGAAGAAAACCAGAAATATTGTTGAAGCCAAGGCAACCTTGATGGATGCCAGAAGCGTTTGGCCTACGTGGCCTGTCAGGGCCCAGTCCTTGAGGCTGTGAAACATTTGCGTCTTAACTGGCTTTGGGCTCTGAAATGGAGGACAATTGACAATTTCTCTTGAGAGGAGCTTGAGAAGAGAGCTACTGCCATGGTTCCTTACATACACCGTGGGCACAGGTTGCACCAAGTTTGGCTCCCACGTTGCCCCATCTGGGCTTGTACCCCCAAACACCCATCTGCTACATCTGAGCAGCTGGCAGTACCAGGCGTGACACAATCCTTTTGTTATTTCAAGTATTTTGTAAGGAAGATGCCCGCCCCCAGAATAATCATGGCCCGTGGCTGCAGAGGTGTGCCAGTGAGATCCAGGCCAAGCGGTTTTTGGTGTTCCTGCAGCCCATCTGCTCCGGAGGGTGCTAACCCCCAGCAAACAGGGACAATTGGCCCGGAGACCGGGATTTCATCAGTATTTGGTACAGAGAAGAAAGACGGCCTCCCCCAACGCTCATCCACCGGGCATGAGGATGGCACAGGGTAAATCTCCCCCACTCCGTCCCACTCTTTGCAGCAAGGAGCCCTAGATGCAGCCCTGGACGCCGGGCTTCGGCAACCCACTGTAGTGGCACTGAGCAGCAGTGCAATGGGCTGTTGGGTACAATTTTGTTGCACAAGCATTTTCGGGGAGCTTGACTGAAACAGTGTCAAGTGTCAGGGCAGACCCACAGCTTCATCAGTTTTGGCAGTAGGCTATGGCACCTGCTCGGAATCTGCTCTGCTGCTTTGGGTGAGGATCTCAGGTTTCCAGGCAAAACGCCATGCTGCGCAGGAGGACCTCTGTGCATGGCCTGTCAGTCTGACTTGGCAGATCTGCAGGGGACAGCTGCTAATATGCTTGGGTTTCTGGTTTTTAAACGTTTTAGATGGAGTTGGTGTTTGAATAGAATACAACACGAGTTTGGAGCCCTTTTGTTTACCTGAGCAGTGCATATGTCTTGTGAAATATTTTAATGCTGACTCTTTATACAGTGGTTGGGCTTTCTGTTCTCTTACCGTAATCATTAGAAATAAACATTAAACATTGCAAAATGCAGGAAATTACACTTGGCATTTCGTAATTGGCTCTGGAACTCTGTTAATGTTTAGTCTTCACTTTTGTTGGGATACTACTGGCCTTCTGAAACCATAACAAAACAGAACATGCCAACCCAGCCCTGAGAGGCTGCAGTGCTAATATTTGAGGTGCCTAGATGCAATGCCCGGTTAAAACACCTGAATCCCCAGCTCTGCCCTGGATTCTGTATCCCCCAGGTCACACGTTTGTTATTCTTGCTTCTCTGGTTTGTAATTTTTTTGCCTTGATCCTCTCTCTCGGGGCTGTTCTCAGCAGAGGGCAGCCTTGTCAAACCCATACGCATACCAGCGGGCACGTTGTATTTTATGTTTTCCTTGCTGCTGTTCTGTGACCCCCGTGTGACATGGTGATGTCCCATGGAAAGGCAGGAATTACCTGTCCTAAACACCTGCGACGTGTGGGGCTGGCTGCTGACAGTGATATGGCCATTCCCCAAGCAGGTTGAAGTTTGTGAGGGGAATTATTACTGTGAGAAAATAAAGCAATCATCCTGGCAAATTTTAGTTTGAATTTTGGATGGGTTTTTTTGAAAAAAACGTAAAGCCATTTTCAAAGACATTCTAGTCCTTCATGTAGGTGGTCTCCACTTTTTGTACAAATGGAGAGGTTTCGTAGTCACATACAGGAGTTAGGTGCTGTGCTTGTGTCGATAGTCACAGGTCCACGTGAGCTGTGCTTCTTGCCCCTCAACATCCTCTTAAAGCTTCCAGGCAGAACTCTCTGTGTTTCTTTCCTGGATGACATGTCTGAAGATAGTTATTTTATGGTATAGTAACATTTGTCATTAGCATTTTCACATTAAATCCCCATTTTGCAGCAGTTTTCAGACATCAGGACAAGCTTTTCTACATTTTTCAGTCTTAACTGTAGTTGTTGAACTGTTCTGCATATTTGTTTTTAATGCATAGTAAAAATACAGGGCAGATGCTTACGAGGCCTAAATTGTCCTTTGAAATCAATGGATTTACAAGAAATTACACCAGATTAGAATCAAGATATTTAACTGAATTACAACCAACGTGTCTGTTAAACTAAGCCAAATAAAGGAAATATCCTTCATGAAATATTCAGCAGCAATTCTCTTAGTCAAATCATGCACTGCTTATCTTGGCAAAAAACTTCTGAGATTCTCAGTAAAAGTTTTCTTTCATCTTTATCAAGATCTGTTTTCTTTTAACCTTATTCACAGAAATGATTTCTAAATCTGTTTTAAAAACATACTGTCCTGCCACAATAAAACTAACAAACAGGACCAGACTGAACAGCGAACCATGTCACCGGTTTTGCAGCGAAGGGGCTTGATACCAGCTTTTCCTGACACAAGAAGTTACTAATAGATGCTCATGTTGACAAATGGTCATGTACTGAGAACTTCTGAAAAAACATAAAGGAAAACATGGGAGGAGAGGCACATAAGGCTATTGATTTTAATTAATGCATGTAATCTTGAGGGGTAATACTGCCAGAATTGCAAAAAAGATCATGCATTCAGTGGTGCAGAACAGTCTGTCAAGACAGGTAGTGGTCATAAGACTCCTATCACAAGTGAATGAAAGAAGCTAAATCAGCTAAATCTGACTTGACCTTGAACCAAACAACCAGCTTCACAGTTCTGGGTTGGCAGCCTCCCGCTTCCTAACCAATGTCCACAGTCACGTCTGAGGGAAGCTCTCAGTGGGATGCCAGAACATGAGCACAGACAGGTTTTGCAATTTTTCCACTGCTTTTGACAACATTGCATTTGGGGAAACAAAACAGAAGTTTTAATTTTGCCTTCAAAGCTTTTGATGAATTTTGATTTTTTTTGTGTGCGTAACACTGCACACTGATGGCACCAAGTAACAGCTTAAGCCAGAATACAAGTTTGCAATCTTAACTCACAAAACCTTTCATCTCATCCACAGTGAAAGAAAACAGTGTCCCTGCCTCGCCTCTGGTTTCGCGCCAAGAGAAACTCCTGACTGCTGCTTGTCAGAGCCCTTCCTCGGCTCTCGTCCCTCGCCCTCCCGCGCTGGCGCTCTGCGTGGAGCAAGGCGAGTTTGCCAAGACCTGTCTTGTTCTCCATGCCCGTGGCACAGGCTGGCTGGCGGGCGAGCAAGCTCCCTTGGAAGCTCCCTTGGAAGCTGGGTCTGCTCCCAGCCAAGCGGTGCCTACCCAAGCTGGGAGCGTCCCGAGCTGGGCCCGAGCGGCTCCTCCCCCGACGTAGGCAAGGTTACACCTCTCTTCCCTACGCCTGTCAGCGAACAGCTGGACTTCTCTCGTTACATGTGTGCAACCACTTAAAAAAAACATCCAGGCTGGCTTACTCAGCAGATTATAAAAGAGTGATTTACAAAATGCAGCTTTCTTCCAGATCACCCGTGCCGTTGTATTTATGTGACTGAAGGTCTCGGCTGATCCCTTCTTTCCTTGTGCAGCCAAGAGGTTTGCCGCAGCAGCAACAGCCACGGCCAGTACAATACTGTAAGTCGCTGGGAACGTTTTTTTCTCTCAGTTTGGAAGGGGTTGGCGTTTGGTGTATCAGATCCATAACACTTACCATATTTTTCTAGCATAGAAAATGAAGAGTATCTTCTGCTCGGGCTGTGACTGTGCTGCCCTGCAAGATGCAGCAGCAGTGTGGTGCCTGTTTTATAACAGCAGCATGAATGAATGATGCAATCATGCAGGGGGGAAGCATCATCATTTTGTCAGGACAGGCAAGAGGGGATTGGAGAGTTGGGAAGTGTATGTCAACATCCGTCAGGTTCCTTCTACCCCTTTTCAACTACTTTTTAAAAGGTGCTTAAATAAATTCACTGTTAGGCACTGCTGTTCAGGTATTAGTGTATAGCTGCAAACAATTCATCTCTTGACTTGCATACAAGTTTGTATTACTACGTTTAAAAACCGAACAGAAAACCAGGAAGTGTGAGGCAAACTTAGTGAGGTTAAGGACTCAATCTTCCTATTCTCACACTGAAAACCACAGAAACTCACAATTATGGATGGATGGGTTGAACTTTTAAACAGTAGTACTATAAACAACAGCCACAGTTTGCTGAAATATAACTAATCTGCTTAAATGTATCCCCTTTCCTCTAAAGCTTTCAAAACATATTGCTAATACTGAGAATTAAACCTCAGCATAGAAAAGCTGTATCACTATATTATTCCCATTTTACAGACATAGGACTGGAAACAATGAGGATTAAGTGATTTGTTTAAACTAAAACCATGGAAACACTCCTGAGCAGGACCACTCCTGTAGTGGGAACAGGTCCTGAGAAAAGTTTCAAGAACTTTTTTCTCCAAATCCCTTTCTCTAAGCAGCAGTTTCCCTTCAATGCAACAGAAACAGTTTAATATGGTTGCATTTCTGTTAATCTCACTGCATGTTCAATGCAATGTTACTCTGCTGCGGGAATGTATCTCAGTGAAGTCCTCACTCTCACCTTGTTAAAGTGGATCAGAATGAGAAACACAGAAACTGTTTGCAAACTAGGATATTCCTGAGTGATCTGTTTAAAAAGATATTTTAGGTAATATTTCATTAAGAATCTTTTAATCTTCATTTTTTCACAGCAATAAATGTGAACATAATGCAAAGTAGCAGCATGGCAGTACTTCTGAAAGCTGAAATACGGTAATAAGTGAAGTCTAGTCACAATGAAGATTTTGAGATCTCGTCAAGATCTCATCAAAATATACCAGCCCCAGAACACCTGGAGTTCTGAGTACCATTTACTTGTTCCTTTTGCATTACATGTAGCAGATACTGCAGATGTTTCTGTTTTTCACAGTGCAGTAAGTGTCCTTCTTTGAAGGGTCAGCAAACAGAAAAGATTTCAGTTGTTTTCCTTTGACATGTGGTCTTACATAATTCCTGTGCTTGCTTCTGTGACTCCACCCTCTCTGTTATGAAACACAACTATTTCTTGTGGAAATGCCACTTTTTTTCCCAAATGGCCTGATGAAGTACTTCATAGTCTGGAGGCAAGGAGATCTCATGGGAATTCCACTTTTCCTTTGTGATTTCCTTTTTCTCCATCTTTATCTCAAGTTTCACCCTACTCTCTCCATCACTGTTATGTCTTCTCCAGTCGCTTCTTTGCCCATTGTTTCTTCTCTCCTCCATTCTTTTCAGCTTTTCCCCACAATATTTTATTATCAGACCTGTTGAAACGTTTGCTTTTCCAGCATGCAAATAATAGGATAGGAATAGATTACCTATCTGAAATTCAGTGGCAGAAAGATCAGATTTTCTACCCACGTTTTTCATACGGAGACAGAACTCATTATTTGTGTGAATTTCTTTTTTCTTACTATCTCATTAAAACATTGATGCATTTAAGCAATCACATGCCCTATATTTCAAAGTAAATAATCTCTGCCAGAGGCCTATACCAGTCTGGAATAAAAAATTGCTGTTCCCTTACTACAGCTGTTAGAGATTTGTCCATAGAAAGGTTTTACACTGCTTTGATTCTTTTTGCTCATGTTTCCAAGTAACACTTACCTGTGGATGAGCTACTGTGTCTGTCCTTATTTCCTATGCGCACTTACCCGGAGATGAATTCTAGGCAGCTTCCCGGTGGACGACATGCCAGGATGGCGCAGTGAAAATTTTGAAAACAAGGGAAGGAGCAGAACCTCTCCTGCTTGTATTTTCCCCCATTCCCATTGCCCACTACTCAATCACTGATAGCCTTGCCTTATGCTCTCATGTATGTTTAGGGCTGGGAAAAAAAATTCCCCAGTTACTGAAATTGGCATGTCACCATTTGGAATGGCATTTGCCAGCCTCTGGACCTGATGGTGACCCCCGGAGCTCTGCCAACAAGGGCAGAACAACCTTATTTCACTCCAAATGAACCACCTTTAACTCCTAAAATTTGCTTTTCCTGCCAGCAAGACACCCTGCAATAGCTGAAGCTTCCTTCACAGGTTCTCCTGTTCGCTCCTGTATAAGCTTCCCTATTTTACGGTTTATCGCAAGTTCTCCAACATGTGTGATAATACATTAGCCAAAGCCAGGTCTGTGTTTTCCAGGACTCAGTGCCCAGCTATAGCAGAAAGTGGAAAGATTTCAGCAGGTCACAGGCCAAGGGAGAACAGGAACTACTGATGGTTTCTGCATTTCTAAACGCAATTCTTCCCTTCAAACTTGTCATCTTTAGGCACTATAAACCACAGCTTGAAACTCTCTTGAAAGAGTTATCGCATGGAACAAAGAGAGGACAGGGTTAATTCCAACCACAAGTGGTATCCGTAATTCTTCCTCTAACTTGTCTATTTGTCCATCAAAGTGCAAAGTCCACCACAGTGGTGGTCTCGTCATTGTAAGAAGCATCCAGAAAGGAGTATGGGAAATGTGGATACCAGAGAGAAGGAAAAATTAATGTCTCTTCCTTCCTGCTCCCAATGTGTGTTTCTAGCGATAACATTTTTCTCAGAGAGACTAAAATGTTGAAGACATGTACCCAGAAATGTATTTCAGGTTCTCACCGAGAAATCACATCACAGTGCAGTGTCCCCACACAGTGACATTGCATCATAATGTGGTAATGTTGCAGTGCAGCCTCAGGTTAGCATGAGGCAATGCAATGGCTTTGCATAATAAAGAATCAGTGTTGGAACACCGTGACGCAAATGTCACGCCACAGTGATGCAACAAGTTTGTCCAGTAGAGCAAATCTTTAAAATTGGCATCAAACCCATGGCTGAATTTTTGGTGGACTTTGTAATTTCCAGTAGGCTGGAAAAAATTAATGCCCTGCCATTTAAAAAATGTTAGTGGATGTTTTTCTTTTTTAATTCTACTGCACAAATATATCTAGCAAATGACTGTCAAGACCTGCCCTAAAGTCAAAGCCCTCCTGCTCAGAAAATCAAAATCTTCCACTGTGGAAACACAGTGCAGTGGAGCCAATGTCAAGTCAAGGCTAACGCAAAGTAAACTTGGAATTCACGTGTCACTTGTCCACCCACTGCCAAGCCTTAGCTCAGAACCAGTCTGTCAGAGGGAAGTTTTTATGTCCGTGGCCACTTAAGAGAGAGAGGTTTCTCTTATGTGCCACGCTGATGGCATATGACTGTATTTCTTATATGTATAGTCCAGTCTTTATAGAAAAATATAAAAAACCATGTGCTGTCTGCAGCAAATCATTCTTTAGCAATGCTTCTAAGGCTAGACCAGAGGTTTACAATATGTGTGTGCATGGAACAGCTCTCATGCACAAAGAGCAGAGTCCTGTCATACTATGGCTCGGTCCTTGTTTCTGCTCTTCCCAGAAGTGGAGTCTGTAAAAGCCCTTTTCCGGAATATCTCCTCTTTACTGCGTACCCACTCACCTTTGCTTTCTGGCACACAGGGGAGGATGAGCCCAGCTCTGTCCTACCTTCCCACACTTAAACCGAATGCACAGGAGGGAAGTTTGGGCTGGATGATACCTGCTCTCCCATTCTCACTCACCCCTGCGATGCAGATGAGCACTGAGGAAGCTACTGTGTCACCTTCTTGGCCTCATGCAAAAGCCGTGAACCCACTTTGGTTACTATAGTAGCGTGTTCACACCAAAAAACTCAAAAATAGCTAGAACGACCCTCTCAAACAGTACTGTTTCATGGCTGCCTTTGGATAGGTTTGCCTTTAACGTGACTTGCTCTCTCTGTTTCTTGCTATTTCATATCTACCTGTTTATTAAACAGAGATTCTCTCTTAGAAATATAGCTCTTCGCTGTTCACAACAGGTTTCACTGCTTAGGTTTGGTGGCTTCATTTATACAGACTTCTACCTTTCAATGAAGGACTGAAGTATTCTTTTTTATTCTATACACATGAACAGATAAAAGATGAGTGTGTGTTCTACACATTTTTTTCAGCGATTATGGTAATTTTTCATAAAGCCTTTTGTATCCCAATATTCACCATATGGTTACTAGTCGTGGGAATAAAACCAAAGGTTCCTGCTCCTGCTTTGACCATTAATTATTTAGCTGTGATCTCTCAGTGAGCACACAGAAGTCACCTCAGTAAACATCACTGGTGCTTACCACGTCTGATCCCTGGATGACTCCTGTCTGGCAGTGAGCTACATCAGTACCGATCAGCTCTTGTACTTTTCCACAGCAAGGCACATACTGATCATCTTCTCCACCTTCACTGGATGTCTTTTGTATCTAGGGGTGAAAAGTTTGTCCAAAAAGGGCAAAAAAAAATGTTTTGTGAGAACTTGTGTAAGACTTCTCACCACCAAAATTCACATGATATATAGGAGAAATATAGATTAGCTTAGTGAGAGGAAAACAAAAGATGAAGGTATGTAACATGATGAAGATATATAACATGCTGTTTGATGGTATTTTTTCCCCTATTCCAGAAAGAGAGAGAACCTGCTATCCAGACCAATTACACAAGACATGTCCTGAGAGAAGTCTAGGAGATTAGAAGAGACAACCAAACAAAAGCTTTTACAAAAATTTGGGAAATGGTATAGATAGAAATCTGTACTTGTATCTAAATGTACGGATTGGTAAATAGTGAAGTCCACACTGAATTCCCTTATGAAAGGGTGAAGCACAAGGTGAGTAGGGTAGAGTAAGAAAAGACCAGATTAACACCTTGTGCTTCTGATCTGCAGAAGAAGTAGTGCTCAACAGCACTTTTAAGTGGACAGATATAAAAGGGAAGAAAATGCACTTTTGACACGCATTGTAACGGAAAAAGTTGTGTCATGATGTTGTGGTATCTTAGGGCGTTGAGTGAAGTTCCCAAAGCCCAAGACTTTATTGGGTTTAATAAAAGACTAATTCCCAATGCTAATGGCCAAATCTTCTATGCATTCATAGATGATGAGAATATTTAGTTTATATTAATCAGGACCTAGAAAAGGATCTAAACCTTCATGATTAAGGGACTCACTGATAGATTTAAGATAGTTACGTCTACTGCGATCAAACAAATCCTTAAGGGCTGGGTGTCTTTTACTGTCTCCTGGAGCAACTAATTTGACACACTAGACTGGGTCTGATGAGAAATCAAGATCCATTTGAGTGATGAGGGCAAGATGAGACACAGAACTGCAAATCCCACACAGCAGTTGGCAGTCTGATGGTTCAGCAAATGCCAAGTATTACAACCTTGAACTCCGTGTGAACATCAATGGGCTGAGCCTGCAGAGAGCAAATCAGCAACTGACCAGAGCTCCACAGCCCACCTGTAACGTAAATTGAACATCAGTAGGCAGCAACAGGAGAGAGCAAATCAGCAATCGAGCCAGACCTCCACCACCGCTGACACTCTTTGATAAAAGCTGGCTACCAGGCTGTGCTCGTCCCTACTCGCAGGAACCAGATCAGTTGCGCCAATGGCTCAAGACAGAGTGCAGTACTGTCACTCAGAGAAAGACTTTATCTTGTTCCCTCACAGTAAGAAGGTTCCTAAAAGGATGGCGTCCCTCTTGGAGATGAAAGAAGTCTTCCGCAATGCTGATGCAGTATGCTTTGATGTGGACAGTACAGTCATCAGGGAAGAAGGCATTGATGAGCTTGCAAAGTTCTGTGGAGTCGGAGATGCCGTTGCAGAGATGTATGTATACTTGCTGTTTACTTCATAGGAATAGTAGTAAAAAATAAGCATGGATAAGGTTAATCTGTGACAATGAATTTACAATAGGGATTAATTCAACTCTGTCATAGGAGACTATTACAGTTTAAAAAGGATTTTAGGAATAAGAAGTGGAATTAATGCATAATGAAGTAACTTACTTCATTATTACTTTGGAATTGTGAAGCCACTCAACAAAACTATGCTGACATAAATTCTCTAATGTAAATTTCTTCAATAGACTAAGGTCAGCCCTCACCATTAAACCTGGCTAAGCACTAGCAAACCTTATTACGAGATGGAGGAGAGGGGACAACTCTCTTAACACTTCTCTGAGGCCGATGATGTTTCCAATGAAACTTGTAGGAAAAGTTCTGTCACTTTCAGAGAACAGCACCTGGGCTCCAGTTTAGGAATACTGGTCCCAGTGGCTCTGACGCACTCACAAAGCGGTTTTCCTTTGCCTCACTGGTTCACACAAGAGCTCCGATCTGCGGAGATCTTCTGCCAGTGGTTGCTACCAATCTTTTCAGTGTACCAATCTTCTCCTTTACAACATAGATAAGGTATAACCTAGAACCTATGGACAAGATCTTACCTTGTTCCTTGTCATTCTTCTTTAACTAACTGTTCTCGGGAGAACTCAACTTGTTAAGTGTCACTGATTTGTTTTCTTTGGATCACAATTTAGGACCCGCAGAGCTATGGGTGGCACTGTGACATTCAAAGCAGCTTTAACGGCACGACTAGGTCTTATACGTCCCTCCTATGAGCAAGTGCAAAAACTAATATCTGACAACCCACCTCAACTAACACCAGGAATAAGGTAAGAAGAATTTCAAATGATCCAACGAAAAAGTCTTCTGCACATGACATAAGTCAACAAAATTCTGTGACATTAGTGAGGCTGTAAGACCGTAGAGCTGGTTTAGATTGCCTTCCTGCTCCATTTCCATGTTGTTTGTGTACAAAGCTTGTATCAAGAGCTTATAATGGCCTGAGTCCATGTCAAGTGGCTAAGCATCCATGTAAAAAGAAAACAGTCTTAGGTGTCAACAGGCATTTTGGCTGGCAAGCTCAAATTCTGGCTCAAGGATTAAACGGGCATGGAAAATAATCTGTTCAATCACACCTGGTTTTTGATGGGTGATGGAACTGGGAGGAGATTTAATACCCTGTATGAACTACTGGCTTTGTCTATTCTGCAATTATATTACCCCTCTTTTACACTTCGGTGTGCAGTCACCCCTGGACTCAGCTTAGGGGATCCATTGGTCAGAGCTATCCGTTCGGTACTGAAGTCTCTAAAAAAAGTATTAAAAAATCATTGCGGGGAAATACAAATATATGTGTGCATTCATTCATCTTTGGGTTTGGAACAAACATTAACTATTTAAATGGACAAGTTTTTTTCCTATTCAAATTGTTTCAAACAATTGAAAATAATTTCTTTACTACAAAACCTGGCCATAGGTCCAAGTCTAAAATATTTTAAGCACATACAGTAGTTTTAGACGATATTGTGCTTGTATTTTCTCCTTGAAATAAAGCACATGCTCAGCTTTTTCTGTAGAAGGCATAGCTCGATGGAACTACAAAGAGAACATTGTTTCCTTGTTTAGAATCACATGATTTTCCTTTTCATTCCTTCCCTTTTTTCTCCTTTTCTGTCTAGCCTGCTTTAAGCTTCCACTTTGCTTTTTAGTATTTAGCATTTTTGCTGTTACTACCACTTCTACTGCTCAGCATTGCTGCATGCTGATCTTCTGCTTCTAGAGCCAAATCCCGTAAAACTTTTAACTGCCTTCAAGCCCTGTTGACATTAACTGGGTCTGAAAACTACTTTTTTTGATTCCTTCTCTGTAGCTGGTGCCCTCTTCTAAAGATGGCATCGACGTCCAGTGTCTGGGGAACCAACTCTGAGTTAGAAAATGTTTGCACTTTGCATACTTTTCAGCCCACTTTTGCATTTTGGTGCAATGGCTGTATCTCCCCCATATTCCCTACTTTTTCCTGCATTATAGATTCATTTTCTTGCTGTTGTTTTACTTCAGAAAAAAATCTGAACTGGATCTGCTCTCATTTGTTCAATGTGAACAGTATGAAAGTGTAAAGAAAACGTTTCTAGGGAGTGCTTGTTTAATGCAACTAAATACCTGTTTGTCTCTAGACGTGATGGTTTTGTTCAGCTCTTTTCAAGCAAGGTGTATGCACAAACTTGCAAGGGAAAGAAGGAAAAGCTTTGGGCAGCAGAGATGGATGGAGCTGGAAAGCAGCATCCTGACTAAACTGGAATAACACAAAGCACAGGCAGCCTTGTTTAGGAAAGATGTATTTTAACTTTCTTGTTATTCCTAGATGCTGCCAGGCACTCACACTTGGTGACTGCTCTTTCTTCTCAGGGAGCTGGTGAACAGGCTTCATCAACGAGGAGTCCAGGTCTTCTTGGTCTCTGGGGGGTTTCAGAGCATCGTGGAGCATGTGGCCTTGCAGCTGAACATTCCAACAGCAAATGTCTTTGCCAACAGGCTGAAGTTTTACTTTAATGGTGAGATTCCCTTAAAGTCTCTTTTCTCTGCTAATTAATGCCACTTTTTTGGTTCAAACTCTGAGACATTGGGCTACAGATACTGTCCAGCCCACATGGCCTTGTTACCAATCCAGCTAGCTCCAAGTAGGAAAATTACAAGACCTTACCAAAACATGAGTTCAGGTCATTTTCCAGACATACGAAATAAGAGCTGTAGTTACTTTTTAATTGCAAGCTGTGCCAAAGGTAAAACATGTTACAGTTGCTGACAGCAGAGTTTCATTTTCTCTTGCTCCTTCAAGTTAAAAGAGTTGATTACACTTACCTGCTTTCAGAGGCAAACTTCACTTTCAGTGACTTTGAGGTATGTATGGAGACCGATGTACTTTAGTAGAGCTGCTCTGGACTTTAAGCTAGTGTAATCAAGCAGAACCGTAGTTAGTGAAGTTGTTTCTTACTCAGTGTTTCATACACGGTCTATACATCATACTGGATGCTGCTTTTGACATGTTTATACCAGAATGGTTGGACCAGAGTGACTAGGAATGGATCTGTAACGCTACCCATACTGGGTTTCTACTTTTGTCTTAGCATTTCAGCTCTTTGAAAATAGCCCCTCTGAAGACTTGGGTAGAATCCTAGTTTTTACACTTACCTTCTAATTACTTTTTTGGGATGCTGATATTGTGAGGCTTACAGGACTGCATGTAATTAGCCATTTTCTGAAGTAAAGACCATAGGCATATATCTTTCTTCACTTACAAGAAAATACACTATGTGTCTAACTCGTCCTTCCATTGTGTTCTAGGAGAATACGCAGGATTTGATGAAACACAGCCAACAGCTGAATCAGGAGGGAAAGGAAAGGTTATTACTCATCTGAAGGAACAGTTCCACTTTAAGAAAGTAGTTATGATTGGAGATGGAGCTACAGACATGGAAGCCTGTCCCCCTGCTGTAAGTATTAAAGAACTGGAATGCTAAATTCCTTTTGAGGAAACCCTTTGGGGAAAAAAAAAGTGCAGTTTGAAGTCTTTATAGGACTTCACAGAAGATCTTTAGCACTTCCCACAGCCTAGAAGAGATCTGTGCAGGTAGTTTTCCTCTAGAAAGCCTGCATCATGCAATGGTTGATTTCTCTCAGTTCAGACAATCTCAGTGAGGGTGTCACCCTCTAAGCCAGGGTGCTGGCAGGGTCTAGCAGGACTGTGTAACAGTCTAGCAACCTGTCTCAAATCAAGCTGGTATTACCATGTCTGCCTTCCCCCTCCACGTCCCCAGAGTAAGAGCTTGCTTCTGTGCAGAGGTCTTACCCTACCAAGGTCCTGGTTCTGAACACCAATTAATGATGCTTAGCGTGAAGGTCTGGCACAGATCTGGTGCACATTTACCTGATATTGGCCTAGCAAGAGGGTTCATCTCACTGTACAGTGATGATACCTTTGAAGATATCAGCCCTGACAGGGTGAAATAATAAAAAAATTATTAGAAAGACAACTTTTATAAATGGTCATTCCACAGAGGAGAAATCTTAATTCCATGTCTCCTTTAGTGCCTTTCTCTATGTAGAAGTACCCCAATACCCTTTCTTCGCCAATGCTGAGGGACAGGTATCCCAGTGTATGGAAATGCACAGAAACAAACTCTGAGAGCTACTGCTGATGTGAGTTATGACAGCTGGTCCCTTACTGTTAAATATGTGCATGACCAAAGCAGCTTAGTATTTGCTGAATCCTTTCTACCTGAAGGCAAAAAAGAAGCCGTGGAAATTTTAAACACTGCACTTTCACTGCAGATGATTTTCTAAGATGTAGAAATGATGATTGTTCCTGGTTAATGATTGAAGACATGGTTAATGTTTACTTTTGGTATCTATCAGATGATGTAAACAGAGTTAAGATAAACAGTATGGCATAATTGTGAGATGCTGCATGCATGTTTGAATGTTAACTCATTCTTGAATAGCAAGGCTTTATGTTCCATCACATTTACATCAGATTTTCAGTAAAATCTCAGATCTGAACAATCTTGAAGTTATGAGACACAACTTTCCTATTGGAACAAAACTCTAATAACCAAAGTGGTGCAAAATTAAATGTTAATGAAGTTCTTGTGAATAAATTTGAAAAATGAACACGCAAAGCAAAATAGGGGAGGAGGCAGGGAGGAATATCATAATTTTAAAAACCAATCTTAAAACCAAACTTAATTGCTAAGAAGCTCCATTCCTTACATGGAACTGCAATAATACATGTGCCCATTCTTTCTGTTTTGCCAGGACTGCTTCATTGGATTTGGAGGAAATGTAATCAGAAAGCAAGTGAAGGAGAAAGCTAAATGGTACATTACTCACTTTGATGAACTGCTAAAGGAACTGGAAGAACGATAAATTATACAGTAAAATAATGTATTTAACAACTGTAAATCCATTATACAATGCAATTAAACATATATTTGTTTGCAAAGTTGTGTTCTGGATTTTTTAATGATTCTGGGTGTTGGGTACCTTCCTCTCTGGCCTGAAACTTGTGTTGCAAATGGCACCATTCTACTCTAGTATTTTGTAATGAAAACGGTAAGATTTTTTAAACATCTTTTCCAAGGTGGAAGGAGTCAGTTGATTATTCACTCACAAGTGAAGACTAAAGGTAGGAAATTATCAACTAAAAATACCTTAATGGATCGGCACCTGGTCAATATTGCATATCTATTGTCAAAGGTAGGAAATTATCAATTAAAAATACCTTAATGGATTGGCACCTGGTCAATATTGCATATCTATTGTTTCAGAATCATTAAAGCTAATACCTCTACTTATTTTGGGTGGCAAAAGAAGAATAAGGGGGCCACAAACGAGAAGTTTGTCTAATCAATAATAATAATAAAAAATAACAATAATATAGTCTAAAAGGCAAACAGTATGGTAAGTACTTTCCATTCCAAAGAATCTCAGAACTAGGTTAAACAGTGAACAGATAGGTAGGAAACATTACCAAGTATCTCTGATTTCATTAAAATATGGCTACAGGAGAACCTGAGATGTCATCTGTTACTCAACATCACTGTTACTCAACCTGTAGTCTGAAAGACATGAGATGCATGCAAATCTGAGATCTATGCAATATTCACCAGTGTCCAAGAAGCGTATTTTAAGGCAAATGATACAGTCGTTTCCACACCTCACGAAAATACTTTAAACTAAACTCCAAAATGGTGATTTTGTAAAATTGTCACACTATTTACTTAACTGTTTCATTTATTTTACAATCCCCCCCCCCCCCCCCCCCCCACACCACCCCCCCCCCCCCCCCCCCCAACAACCTATAACTGGATGGAAGCTAATTCATCAACCTTTAAAAAAAAAGGTCTACTGATTAAGAAAATACTGTGAACCTTATCTAGTCTCTTCCTCTCCCTCAAGTGTGGATCAACCACCCTTAAACTGTTTGTGCTAGAAATAAGTCTAACCTGTTCTAAGTAAGTACTTCTCTGAGCTTCAGCTAACGAATCCTAGTTTCTTAAGGATTTGTTTTTTCTGGCAGCAGTGTCTAATCCAAGAGGGTCCTTATACAGAACACACTTGACAAATGCTTTTTGTCAGCAAGTTCCTGACAACTCTTCTGAGCATGTCTTTTTAACCAGCTTTGCTGACATATCACGGTACTTTTATTTCCCTGACTTGTAAGAATCTCACCTCTGATAACGTGAAAAGCTTTACTAATGTTAAAATGCAAGTCAGATCTTCCACTTCCTTCCATCCACATAATACCATCACAGGAGAAAGATGGGTAGATATGACACGATTTGTCCTGGGGAAAAAAAAAAACCTATGCAGGCTCTTATCTTCTGGGTGCTTAAAAATAGTCCCTGTATTTTTCTGGAAACTGAAGATCAGGCTGAGTGCACTAATTCTCTTTCATCCCACCACATATTTCATATATAGGAAGAGAAACAAAGTGATGTGCCTACCTTCCAAAATCTCACACTGTCTCCACAAGATAATCACAGGTTTTCACAACTTGCACTAGATTTCCTTAATTTAATAAGACCAAATCAAGGTGCAGTGAGAGAGTCTCTGTCCAATTGTTTAAGCATCACCAACAATTAAAATAAATAGTGGTTCTGTCCATTCTGTGACATCATCAGAAAGGATGTAGGGGAAAGAGATGTTAACAAAGCTCCAGACAGTGATGAATGGCAGCTCTCAGTGATGCCATCTAATGTTTTTGGCAAAAAAAATTAGGCAATAATTGCTTGAAGTTACAACAGCATTTAAATACTAGAGCAGTAGAAGGTTTAAAAGAAAACAAATCCAGAAACAAACTTCTGATGGCTTTTTAGAGAAAGGCAGACATACAAACAGCTATACTGCATATCTGTATACAGAATTTAAAACACTTCACAAAAGCCAAAACAGACAATAGTTGGCAGGCTGCTCACCAGAACTCTTCTGGGAGTATTAAAGATGATCTCTTTTAAATTCTTCCTGAGAAAAATCTCAGCCAGCTCCAAGGGCAGCTCATGTACAATCATGCTTTTGTTTAGTCAAGACTGCATGAGTAGAACAAGTATAAACTCTTTCTGCTCCCATTCAGTGTGTTCCTCTGCGATCCTAGAGTTAGGAAGCAGAAGTGTTTCTACTTGCTGCAGTTTTCTATTGAATTAAAAGGCCACTAAAACAAAAAAAAAAAATCTAACATGCAGCTAATCAGCTATAGCTACAGGCCCTGATCCTACAAACACTGTGACACGCTTCAGTTCAAGTATATGTAATTTCACTAATGCCACAGTCAGAAGACTGTGCAGGAGGCTCTGTGCCACAGAGATGTTAACATTCACAGCAGTATCTTCTGCCCGTCTGAGTGCTATGGAAACATGGCGTTGTGCCAATGGTTTCACAAGAGTTCTTTAGGTCTGACCAGTTTGAAAAAAAATACCACCCCCCTTCCACTGGGCAAATATCAAGCCTGACCTCTAGTCCAGGAGGTACCAAAAGGATTACTTAGCTGTGTGAGTGGCTAAGCTCTTTTGTCTGTAAAATATTGCAAAAAAATAGGAGGGAATAAAGCAGCGTGAGGGAAGTTTCAATGTTAAACCAAAGTACCGATTTACCTGAACATACACCATCACAGTAGAGCAAAGTCTGGAGAGTAGCACACGTCAAGCAAGTAATATCTGGTCTTCATGTGGGTCTCCTAAGAGCACGGGGAGGCACACCGCTTCATATAAAGCCTTTTATTTTAATGAGATTATTCAGTGAAGCAGAATTGCTTTAAGTTATATATTCAATTTGCATAAGGGGACTTAAAAGAACAGTTTGCAGTTTTTTCTAGGAAGACTACAGGACAACTAAACTTGAGTTTTAATTGCATCTTCATTACAGTGGAACAAGAATTGATAATTACCAGAGACCCTTCCAGGCATTGTTCCCCACTTTCCAACCACTGGGAAGTGACTTCAGTTCTGAACTCTACAAATTCTGCTCTAAGAAAAGCTGAAGTATTGCTAGTCAAAGGAAGAAGGCAGACTCGGCCATGAAATTAAGAGGGAAAATCACAAGTGTTCGCAACAGAGGAAAACCAACTTCAGAAAGGGCTCAGGCAAAGGGAAGCAAGAAAAGATTGGCATTACTTATTTATCTACTGTGTTACGTTCAGTGAGTTTACATAGTTATCTGTAACTAAAATAACAGGAACTAATCTCTCTCTGATGACAGTTAGAGCACAAGTTTGAAGCTCAGAACGACAGGAGGCACATTCATAATATATTACAACAACACTAGTGGGAATTCAGATCACAGGTAGTGTATAAGGACTGAAGAGACTTGTGCCGTATGATGTCACCCTGCAGAACATCCTTAGATTCCTTATTCAATAGATTTCTTATTCCTTAGATTTCTTATCCATGCAAAACTTCATGGTCCTTAAACAACAAGAGCTCTGCCTGACTGAATTTAATTCTTAGTGCTCCTGGCTGAAGGTAAGAAACACAGATTGCATCAGAACCCACAAAATCCTGTAACTCCAAAAATGTTTTTCACCTTTTGTCTTGGACTGAGATTGCTGGTTATGAGGGGTAAGTTACAAGAACAATTCTCTAGGAACAAGAAATATGGGAGGATACTGGGAGAAATAACAAGGACTGGAAGCTGATATTGTCATCCTTTTTCCCCTTTTGCAGCTAACCAGTAGTCCCAGAATGTCTGGAAAAATGACAGCCCCAAATGATAGTACTGCTCGTGACCGATACACAAGAAGGAACAGCTGAAATCATATACTTGGCCACTGGGTAAGCCAAACAGAACTGTAAGCTAGTACAGTACAGAATTTTGCTGAGTAAAATCCCATAATCAGTTAAAAACAGGAGGAAAATATGAAAACAGTCAAGAATCGGATCAAACATTGACTTTGTTCAAGACGAAATTCAAGTGAAGGCAAGAGTGCAGTGTATTTCAAATGGGAAGAAAAGAAGAAATCAGACCTGAAAAATAAAACACAATTTGTGGAGAAAAATTGAAGGGAAAAATATTTTGCATTTATCACCACAGCACTTATGACCTCTAGAACACTTAGCAAACTGGGATGTAATGGAGATATTGTAAACTCATTTTGGAGAAGGAAAGCAGAATACTGGGAAATGCTGTCCCTGATACAGAGAAGTGATATTGGCTAACTAAGCTGAAATATTCTATGCAATTTTTCAAATTTTCCATAATTAACACTGCAAGATGAGAGAAAACACTGGTGGTGCAATACATGTAAGGTGCCAGTAAAATGTGAAAATTAAAAGGATTTTATTGACTGACATATTCTTCCTGAAAACTCACTGAAATGTACAAACTGGACATTCAGTAACTGATTTGTACATTCTGTATGTTACACTGATTCTCGTAGCCACTTTAAAGAGAGAATATTATTTTCACTTACAGGATGTTCACATCATTGCAGACACCAAAAGTGTTGATATATTCTAGTCTAAAAGTGAAACCAAAATAGAACTGGACATAATGGTACACCGCTTTATGCCAATCCTATTGAGTCAACATGCGCCAGTTTCACACATCAATTCATACGTACCTACTATACAGTTAGTGAAACACCCGACCAAGCATATGTCTGAAGTCATGGTTGCTTATTAAATTAAACCCCTTTTCCCAGACTTCCAAGTTTTTTGTAGAGATAAATGTACTTAACTGAACTGGATTCCCTGCAGAATGTTCAGACAACCACGTCTTGTCAGTACCTCTTTGAAAACCGTAGGTCTTACTGCACAAAATTAATTTCAGGTGTAGATATCTACACACGTGATTAGTTTCAACAGGCTTCAGAGTCCTTGCAAAACAGAATGCCCTATTCTCTGTCCATAAGCTACCACCTGACAAACAGTATTATCCTCAATTAATGACTGCCTATTTGTTAATTTAGAGCTACTTACTGATTTCAGGCCTGCTGGAACAGCTAGGTGT